ACAGGGGCTAGGCTGGCTAGTTGGTACGGGAAGTCATATCCATCTGTGGGACGATGCATGGCTATCGACATCAACCCCTACTNAGCCGTATGGCCCTCCCCCTTTTAACTCAAGAAATCTGAAAGTTGCAGATCTTATACACGCAACCACCAACACATGGAACCTTGAAGCCATCCGCAATATTCTACCTCACTATGAGGACATAATTACGAGCATTGAGCTTACCTCATTCGCCATGGAGGACTCGATAGCTTGGTTACCTGTCAATTCAGGAGTTTACTCTATAAAGTCTGGATATGCCATCACCAAAATAAACAAAGCACCACCATCGATAGAGAATTTCAACTAGAAAGTTTGTGTGTGGAAGGTCAAGACATCTCCCAAATTGAAGAACTTCCTCTGGAAATTGAAGAATAAGGCAGTTGCGGTGGGAAGAAATCTCACAACACGTGGGATCCTGGACGTCCGACGATGCAAGAGATGTGATGCAGAGGAAGACGAGGCACATATCATGTTGTTATGTCCCTTTGCGTCTGCGGTCTGGGATTTGGCTCCGGTTATGCATAAACCAAATGGTCGAGACCCAATCACTATGACTCAATTCCTAGAGTCAGCACGTAGACACATCAATCTTCCTCTGACGGGTCTTACTGATTGTCCTCTGTTTCCATGGCTTTTATGGCACCTATGGAAAGCTCGGAACCAGCTTATATTCAAAAACTATACTATCTCACAAATTGGGGTAGTTGCTGGAGCGATTAAAGAAGCAAGAGCATGGCAAGATGCTCAGCTCCCCGACGTTAAACATAGGCCTGTTATGCCACCTACTTGTCCTCTGTCCTTACCACCACACAGTGTCCTGTGCTTCACGGATGCTTCCTGGATCGCTACAACTCGCGACTGTGGTGCTGGTTGGTGTTTTAAGGATGCTAGCCTGAAAATCATAAGTCAAGACTCGACCTCCAGAAGGAACGTGGCATCGGCATTGATTGCGGAGGCCTTAGCTTTGAAAGCCGCTTTAGTTGCAGCTAAAAATGCAGGATTATGAACACTCTATTGTTTCTCGGATTCTCTCTCACTTGTGACACTAATCAACACAAATGGTGTCACCAACGAGCTGAAATCGCTCCTTCATGACATCCGTTATCTTAGGGAGAATTTCACTTTTATCTCTTTTGTTTTTATTTCTCGCTCGGAAAATGTTTTAGCCGACGCTTTAGCTAAGCTTGGCATTGTATTTTTTGAACCCTCCTCCTAGTTTTCTTAGAGATGATAATACAATCGGTTTGAT